GCAGTGACACTCAAAACCTATGAAATATTGATCAACAGAGAAGATCTGAAACTCAACAATTTGTTTAATCAGAAAGCCCAATCAACAATATTATGGCCTCTTCAGGAAGTCAACAACAATTTTGATATATTCACACTTCTGGTGTATTGAAATTAAGATTGCATACTTGCAATTCTTTGATGAGGTCTCCTGCATGTTCCCCAGGAAATTCTATAATGCAGCTGATGACCACCTCTCGTCATAAACAGAACACTGCTCACCCTAAAAAAATAAAATAAAACAGCAGAGGTTCATTTAGTGGTGTAAAACAGGGGTGCAAAAAATGTCAACAGGTGAGCAACAAACTGTATAAGCCACTCCCAAGGTGTTTTTGCCTCCACAATATTTTGTTCCTTGCTACTTTCACTATTTGGCTTGATCACATGGGCTAAAAAACAGATGAAGCAAATTTTTTGTAAATTTTATAAATTAAACAGTGCTTGAATCTATCAACAGAGGTTGTTGAATAAAAACCTACCGACACTGTATTGTCCTCTGTACAACTGAAATTGAACATATATAAATAAACAACTTATTTAATATTTTCTGTGAAAGTCCATGAAATTAACTGAAGGCAAAAAAACATAACCTCACTGAACTGTTGTCACACATAAATGCATGTCAGCTTTTTTGTTTGAGAACCTAAATATCATCACGTTTAATATTTAATTTACAGTAGAAGGGGAAGTACTACCTGCTGATCATGAAGAAAAATACAAGAACAAACAATTCCTCTCACACTTACATAAAACAACAAGTAGCCAAATGGCTTGCATTTTAAACTGTACCTTCAGTAGTTCCATCTCAGTTTTCAGTCTTTCTCCGAGTGCTCCTCCTTTGGCACGAAACAGTTGTCAACAGCTTGGGAGTGTGAAGATCCAGTGAGGACCAATTTAGGTTCCAGCTGCACAGTGGTTATTCTGTGAAATTCTGCATTCACCTGAAATACGGAATGCGAGTCAAATTAATTTCACGTTTTGAGAGGGTGTTTTCAGATACATTATGTTCCTTTTTGTCTCTGAGTATTGTTAACTCACTTGAGAAGGTTGAAACAGGGCTGTCCATCGTTCCTTTATGTCTTGCACACATGGACATTGATCATAATGATTTCGTGTCGTCGATGTGCAAATGTTTTGTTCATCTTTGCTCATCTCCTATATCATCTTTTCATTGTTCTTCTTCTAAAATTCTCTTCTGCATGTCTGCAAAAATAATGTTGATAGAAATGTGGAATGTTAATAACACTGTATACCAAAATATCTAACATTTATAGCGATTTTTTTTTCCCTGAAACACATTTTAAATGGAAGTAATCTTAACTAATATTTTTTTTTTGATTGACGCATGTATTAGATAAAGTAGACCATTTGAACAACAGTTGTTTTTCATATATAAATAAAATAATATTCCTTACCTTTGTGAAATTAACTGAAAAAAGAGCGGTGAGCAGCTTTGCCCCCAGGTTGTCAGCGGGAAACTCCAGCGCATATATCAAACTAGGCTATATGTTATTAAATTGCACATAGGCTATACATCAGATTATTTTATTTACAAGTTCATGTTTGTGTTTATCCCGTTTTTTCCCCCGTTGCATCTGAAAATTACTTTCAGAATTTTTTTTTTTTCAAAGCAGCCCAATTCATTTTTGCTAAAAGTTTATAAATCAAATTTTTTTGGCTCCAAATATGACATACATTTAATAAAGTTTGAAAAATGGGATTACAAAGGTAAAAAAAAAAAAAAAAAAAACTTCAAGGAGTAAAATTTTGCCCTATAAGGTTAATTTCTGTCATTGATCAGACGGTGTTCCTTAAAAAAAAATATGCATATACATATTTTTTTAAATGTAAGCGTAGAGGCCTTAAGACTGTAATGTTACCTTTTAGGTTTTAGCTAATCAGGCCAATGAGAGACAATTACTAATCATTCTCATTTTTTATTAAATCATTCTTTTATTTCACTAATCAATCTTTTTATTTTATTAAACACAAGGGGTCATTAATGATGCTTACATTATAGCATGTGCAAATTCACACACAAAATATCTATAATTTGGCCAAAATTAATAACCAAGAATATCCAAGAAGGGTTATGATAGAGAAAATATGAAATAAATGTAATGTTATTATATATTACAAAGAGATGTATAATTAAATACATCCAAAATGTATATTTTAAATAAATATAATATATATTTATTTATTATTTGACCTTTTATCACCATTATACCCCCCCAACCCCACCTGATTCCAAGCTAGGGTCCCCCAGTGAATTTTGTCAATTTTCACGACTGATTATAAATATATTTTGCAATATATTGCAAGACTTACCATAACATTTCTTATTTATTTAACTGTTGTATAAAATAATTTCCAAATTTGCACTCATTCATGACTCGTGTGATAACTTTATGAGACAAAAGCT